ATTATCAGCACCTAGATTTTCGGAAAATTATCAGCACCTAGATTTTCGGAAAATTATCAGCACCTAGATTTTCGGAAAATTATCAGCACCTAGATTTTCGGAAAATTGGCAGCGTTAAACGTGTTGAGTTCTGAATATTTCTATATGTTTTCCTGCACTGGAAAGTCAATTTTGTAGAGAACCTACAATTGAAAATATAAGTTTTTAAGATTATAAACATTCATACCTAATTTATACTTGTTCAGGTATAGTTTTTAAGGATACGAAAATATTTATAATATTTACTATTAATGCTTTTCATTAACACTTCAGACATAAAATTAAAATCTTTATTTTGGTTTATAAAAATTGGGAAATCTTTTAAAGTAAATTTTTTCTCACATATTAGAAACAAGTTTTCATCATGATTTCAAGTTCCCCCCCCCCCCCTGTAAAGATACAGGGTGTCCCACATCAATTCGGATTGTTTATGGCTCTAAATTGCGTTTTTCGAGACAAATCAGAAGTTTTATAAAGATTAAATTAATTTTAAAAATTGTAAAAGCCTAATATTCAAATTTGCATGCAGTAAACACTAGGTTTTTCGGGTATTAGGTGCGTATTTCAGCATTAAACCTTGAAGATAATCCAATATGATATGGGACGCTCTGTACATATGACAGGGCTAAGGTGTACGCATCTTTTGTACTGCAGTGTACTGTCTCTGGGCGGTAATGTAAACACAAAACGTATGTCACAGCCTAACATGGGATCCATCTTTCACGTAAAAAATCAATGAAATATTCTGGTCAAAAGAAACTATTATGTGAATTATCAAAATTATCAAAATTAAATGCTTTTATCCTCCACGGATACTAAACAAACACTGATGAATCTATTCTTGTTTACAAATTCCGCCCAGAGAGAACTGGTTTCAATATCTACGCAGAGTATACGCAACTGCAATTAACTTTCCTTGCATTATAACCTTGTGACTCATAAAGGAGTACATGGTCAGTGGAAAACTAGAAATGGCCTTAAGCCTACACGCCCACAATTCGACCCGCCTACACTCCTTATTCGTCCAAAAGTTTGAGTTAATGGTAATAATATTAGTTTAAAGGGAATTATTCCTAAATTTTTTAAATCGTTGACATTTATTTATTTAGTACATTACAGACAAGATACAAAATGAGTTAAAATTTAATAATGAATATTTGTTCAACAAAGAAAATGTAACTGCAGTCCATCATCGATCTACATCTTCTCCAAGTTGATTTAGAGAAAATGTCACGGAATAAGATATGCATATTCTTACCAATCTTTCTTAACTTAGAAAATTAGTAAAAATTGCCAATTCAGTAAATTTCATTCACTGTTTGATGTTTTTTCTTTTCTATTAAATACTATCTGGGTTACCCAGCGTTGCCCGACAATTCATCACCTTCCTCCCCCCCCCCCACTCAACCCACGCTCAACCTACCCATCAATTAAAGATTTGAACAATTTTAAGATATCCTAGTTGTTCTCTCTTAAAAAAGATAAATCCTGCAAATGGTCTTCCTTGTTTCTACATACACAACATTGCACATAGCTTTATTGAGACAAACTGCCGACGAAAATTAAAAGTTTAGTAAAAAAGAGATCTCAACAATTTGTGTTTGAAATAGGTGTAAGAGATACCTTTGTGAATCAGACATTTCACTCTTTAAATGGAGGGTCAATTGAAAATACGTCCCAATATTCCTATTTAACTGTTAAAGCATTACAAGGCATAATTAACATTTTTATGATTTCTTTTTATCTCAGTACAAAATGGAAAGATGCAACATCTTCGTCTCCGAAACTAAAGTTTCAACATAAAATTTAGATTTTTTGTTTAATCATAAATCAAAAATAACATCACTAAACGCTTTGATGGACCTAAATTTATTTTTAATGATATTGAAAGTATGTATGTCAACAATTACTGTTTACGAGAATAAATATTTAGATTTTAAATTTTTGTAATTACTCCTGTCCCTCGGGTATGTTTGTAAAAAGTGTGTTGATAAAAACTGGCTGAAAAAACTTGGTTTATTTAGTAATTAACTGCATTGCTTTCCCTCAAGTCAAAAATGATTAAGCCCGCATTGCAGTTTTGTTGTTATCACATTAATTAAAGTTTTTTAGGTTGAAAGTAAAATTTTTATGTTTATATAAATATTAAGCTTTGAGGGCGCTCTGCGCCCATCTTCTATTTCAATTAACGCAAAATCACAGGTCTTGTTAAAAGGAGTATTCGCGAAAAATGAAAGGGGGTATAGGCTTACGGCGATAAATAATCGCTTTTGATCGCTACTAATCTTTCTTCTATCTGTTGCGTCTGTAATGAGAAAATTGTTAAAAACGTCTCATACCGAAGAGTCGAAGAACGCAGATTCCTTACAAATTCAGAAATTTGCAACATACGACTTGGATCGTAACAAAATCAATTTAATTCCAAACAAAGCATTCAGATATTACAACTTATTGTCATCGATTATTTTTCGACGCATTGATATATAGTTAATATTTCATAATATTTTTACTTGCTATGATCTGAGAGTACCTTTTGAAAACATTCATTCCTGCTTCGAGGATTTTGATAATGAAGACGACATTTTCCATATTTTGTTCTAAGCGAAAATTAATTTTTAAAGACACAAAATAAAAAATATTATAAAATATCAACTACATACAAATGCGTCGAAAAAATTTTCGATGACTAAAGGATTTAATATCTAAATTATTTGTTTGATACTAATTTGATTTTTTTACGATCCAAGTCGTATGTTCCAATTTCCTCAATTTGTATGAACGCTTCGGTTCTTCGGTATAAGACGTTTTTAACAATTTTCTCCATATAGACACAACAGATAGAAGTAAGATTAGTAGCGATCAGAAGCGATTATTTATCGCCGTAAGCCTATACCCCCTTTCATTTATTTTTCGCGAACACTCCCTTTAAGGGCGGAGTCATGATACCAGAGTTACCGATTAGGGGAAAAAAACAATCTAATAAGCATGATTTTAAGAAAAACACAAAATTAACATTTAATCATATTTACCATTTAATGAAAATAGGAATTTTTATAGAAATTGTTAGCTATTTAGTAAATAAAACAATGCACACAACGCAAAAAAAAAAAATAGAAAAAATCTACATTGGCGTGCACATTTTAAATCAGGGAAGTTCTGGAAATCATTGAATCAGCATGCATTGATATTTCTTAATTTTGGAGTTGAAGAAAAATTTTTGTTTATTGAAACAATTTTAAAATATGTTGTTAGATTCTGTTGAAAGTGTGGTGACCCCAAGGTACTAATGCAAGGAAAGTTATTTCAGAGGTAAACGCATTTTTGTACTGCAGTGTACAGTCTTTGGGTGGAAAAGGAAACACAAGACCGAATCCACAGCCTGACATGGAATCCATTTTCACAAAAATAATCTATGAACTATTCTAGTCATAGCAAACTATTATGTGAATTTTCAAAACTATCAAAATTAAATGCTTTTAACCTCTTTTCTTGTTTACAAATTCCGCCCAGCGAGAACTGGTTTCGATATGTACGCAGAGTATACGCAACCGCAATTAACTTTCCTTGCATTAGTACCTTGGGTGACCCTAAAGGTCGATGCAAAGTCAGAGCCCAGCCAATAAGAGTTCAACACTAAAATACACATGTACGCCCGGGCTCGGAGGACTAAAATACACATGTACCCCCGGGCTCGGAGGACTAAAATACACATGTACGCCCGGGCTCGGAGGACTAAAATACACATGAACGCCCGGGCTCGGAGGGCTAAAATACACATGTACGCCCGGGCTCGGAGGGCTCTGTCTAATTTAGGTGAAAAGGATGGATACAACTGTAAGGTAATTCTACTTGAATTGTGAACATTTTCTCTTTGTATACTTTGTAAAGTAGAAACAAAAAAATTTGCAGATTTAATGAAAATTGAATTTTGTTGGAGGCTAATAAACCTTCCCTAGGGTCATGTGAGGTCCCACACAAAGATGTGAATGTCCGATTCCCACCAGTACCTTTGACTGATCAAAGTTGACGGACTTTTGATAATTTCTTCATTGATTTTTATATGCAAGAAATGTGCATGTCACTTTTGAAGAGAACCCTGAAATGAAAAAAGTAACAGAAACAAAAACATAAATTTTATAAAGTTCGTACTAAAGCAGGAACTGAGTTTAAACGCGGAAGATTATCTGAATAGTATTTATACAAGGGGTTGGAGAACATAGAGCAGTCCCGCGTACCATGTAGCGGGGTTCTCATACACTTTATATTCGGCAATGTTTTTATCAATTGGAATAAAATATACAATAATAATAGTATCTTTAGTTGTGCATTTAGGTACCTACCCATCTACCAGATTTAGGTCGGGTATAAAATATCTAATTCAACCCTGATCAGACAAAGGAGGGCCACTTGAAATTACGCTCACAGTCCCATTAAATTTATATTTAAAATTCGGTGATGGTGATGGACCAAACCTCTGTAGAGTAAAAAAGTAGATGTTAGTTCCACATTTATTGAATATTTAAATTGTCAGCGGGGTGGATATCATTTACTATAACGATAAAAAAATACCGTTTTTCGTTTCATTTTGGATTTTTAGAAACTAAACAAGTGTTAGTTTTAAGCTTTTGAAACGAATAGTTTTTGATGCTCTTTAATTTACAGAATTCAGAAGGGTACATGAATCATTCTTTTAGAGTGGTTTTGTACATGAAATATTCTTTTAGAGTGGTTGTGTACATGAAATATTCTCATATGACGGTTATGTACATGGTTTATTCTCGTATGAAGGTTATGTACACGAAGTATTCTCTTATGAGTGTTATGTACATGAACTATTCTCGTAGGAGGGTAATGTACACGAAGTATTCTCTTCTGAAGGTTATGTAAATGAAATATTCTCGTAAGAAGGTTTTTTACGTGAAATATTCTTGTAGGAGGGTTATGTACATTAAACATTCTCGTAGGAGGGTCTAGTACATGATTTATTTTCATATACGACAGTTATGTACATGCTATGTTCTCCCATGAAGAGTTGGTTCCATCCTTTTTGTTTATTTCTGTCTCAATCCAACCAATGTAATCTGAAATTAGAATTAGATATATTTCAATCCAATCAATGTAATCTGAAATTAGAATTAGATATATTTCAATCCAATCAATGATTTTCCAGCAGATACTTTAATATGCTTTAACAAAAAGCCAGCATGAACGATGACAGATTTAATGATCTGGCCCTAATGAACATTCATAGAGACATCTTAGAAACCGTAAGACCCACAAAAGTGTTAAAAGCTTTTATAGACAAAAATCCCCGTGAAGTTGAATTAAAAAGCTGGATCCTAAATTACAAAACAGAAAAAGCACGTGCGTAGTTATCAATCTATGATCTGTGTTATTAAAAGGTTAAGCAGGAATCATGTTTATGTAATGAAACATCAAATAATGAAAATATCACAGAAGTATTTGCACATTTATCTGTTGCTTTCTTATTCCTGTTCTTTTAAAATATGGTTGCTTGAGATTAAATAATTTCGGAATTCAGAGAATTCTTTTCTTTCTCAGACAAATTCTTTCAAGTGCAAAACAAATACCTTTAAAGAGACTGTCAACTAAATATTATTAATGGAACTGTCAACTAAATATTATTAATGGAACTGTTAACTAAATATTATTAATGGGACTGTTAACTAAATATTATTAATGGGACTGTTAACTAAATATTATTAATGGGACTGTTAACTAAATATTATTAATGGGACTGTCAACTAAATATCATTAATGGGACTGTCTACTAAATATTATTAATGGGACTGTCAACTAAATATTATTGATGGGACTGCCAACTAAATATTATTAATGGGACTGTCAACTAAATATTATTGATGGGACTGCCAACTAAATATAATTAATGGGACTGTCAACTAAATATCATTAATGGGAATGTAAACTAAATTCATAAGAAAAATCGTTTAAAAAATTGCACGAAAAAAACAAAGGTTAACAATCGTTAGCCAGACCATTAAAAACTGAACGTTCACTGAACGTACGATTTTTTCATACAAACTTGGAAAACTCGATTGTTTTACTCAACAAAAAACTCAACAAAATTTGGAAAAATAACTTTGAACTTCTGTATTTGGCCCGTAGAGTTCTTAAACTTACTTTGAACTTCTGTATATACTCCGTAGAGTTCTTAAACTTACTTTGAGCTTCTGTATATACCCCGTAGAGTTCTTACACTTACTTTGAACTTCTGTATATACCCCGTATAGTTATTAAAATTACTTTGAACTCCTCTGTATTTACCCCGTAGAGTTCTTAAACTTACTGTGAACTTCTGTATATACCCCGCAGAGTTCTTAAAATTACTTTGAATTCTGTATACACCCTGTAGAGTTCTTAAACTTACTTTGAACTCTGTATATACCCTGTAGAGTTCTTAAACTTACTTTGAACTCTGTATATACCCTGTAGAGTTCTTAAACTTACTTTGAACTTCTGTATATACCCCGTAGAGTTCTTAAACTTACTTTGAACTCAGTATATACCACGTGGAGTTCTTAAACTTACTTTGAATACTTCTGTATATACCCCGTAAAGTTCATAAACTTACATTGAACTTCTGTATATACCCCGTAGAGTTCATAAACTTACATTGAACTTCTGTATATACCCCTTAGAGTTCTTAAACTTACTTTGAACTCAGTATATACCCCGTAGAGTTCTTAAACTTACTTTGAACTTCTGTATAGACCCCGTAAAGTCCTTGTCTTGCACATCCTATGCCCCAAGATACAATCCCAGCTAGCCTATAGTTCCCATTAGAACCTTCAGCTACCAATGGTCCTCCAGAGTCTCCCTGAAAATTTGTTAAGGGTTTGCGAAGAGAGTATAAAGCGTAGAGGAGGGACCATATTACTACCTATAATCATCGAATTAAATTCGAAGCATTCGTAAAAAGTTAATATTTAATAATAATTGTTATTTGTTTCATGTACAAGATACTTTAAACGACGATTTACTGCTAGAGATTGACTGCTAGAGATGTCTCTGCTATTGATGATTCAAGGGTTCCACGTAGAGAGACATCAACGACACCAAGTGATTAAAAATCATCCTTTAAAAAACATCGTATATAAAACAAATACAAAATACTATAAAACAACAATTTGATGATAATAGGTTATAATATCTGTATGGTTAGTTTTAAATTTAATTAAATTATTTACGATCTGGGTGAAATATTGCAACTTCGTGAATTTGTACGGACGCTTATAGAGTGTTTAACACTATTCGACTTACAGACGCAACAGATAAAGATATAATTGGTAGCAATTAACATCGAATTTTATTCGACGTTAACTTATACCCCATTTCATTTGTCGTGAACACTTCCTTGAAGGAAATAGATTCAGTTGTTCAAAGGCCGAATTTAAAGAATTGTTTAAGATTTGAGCCGGCGTTCATTTGAACGCAGTTCTTTGCGGTTCACTTCAGCGACACAATTTCAAATTCTGGAAATTCGGCCTCAGTACACATAATGACATTAGAAGGCTAAAACGGACAGTACATAAAAGGAATCAAGGTAATAAGGCAAGGAAAGTTAATTGCTGTTGCGCATTCTCTGTGTACACATTGAAACCAGTTCTCTTTTTTGGCGGTGTTTGAAAACAAGAATAGATGCATTAGTGTGCCTGTATAGTATCCGAGGATAAAAGCATTTAATTTTGATAATTTTGATAATTCATGATAGTTTCCTATGAACAGAACATTTCATTGATTTTTTATGTGAAAATGGATGTTAGGCTGTGACATCTGTTTTGTGTTTACTTTACCGCCCAGAGACAGTACAGTGCAAGGAATATACCAGGAACGCCCAACTCAGATATACGCATTGTGTACTGTACAATATGGGAGCAATGTAAACAAACCCAGTGCCCCCATAGCAGTTGAAGCATTGAAGGGGATCATGTTCAACAAAACAAACTATTTTGTATATTAAAATATGGATAACATTCTTTTCATTTTTTCTTGAATTTTATGTTAGAAGATTTTTTTTTATAAAAGACTAATATTTAATGTGCATTTCCCGAAAATGTTTTTAAAGGTGAATCAGGCATACATCTTTATATGGGACATAATGACGTGTGCAGTCCTGTTAGGCATTGAATTATGTCTACTATCCCTCTTGCATTGATTCCAATGAAATGAGGACTTATTTTTGTTTTTATTAAAACATCCCAATTTTACCCTATAAAGTTGAATATAATCTTGGTAATTATCATTTCTCTTTTCTGCCTTTAAAGCATTTACTCGCAAGTAACAAATATTCTTGCGTTTTATAATCAGTATTCGTGTCTACGATAGCAATATATCTTATTATCCCCCCTCCCACATAATTGATGTTTTGCCCCTGAATTCTTTGTTTTGATCTCCTCCCACTGCAGTACACAGATTTGACGCATCAGATATGGCGGTTCCTGATCTATATATTTCTTGGTACAGTGCAGTACTAAAAATGCGTACACCTCTGAAAGAACTATCTTTACATTATAATTCTTTGAAATGAATCATCTCCTTCTTGTGAAAGTATTGAGTGTATCATGCTGTAAAGTTTCAGTGAAAGCCTTTGATTCATTATAAACTATGAAGTCATCCTAAAACATTTCTTTACTTAATCCTGTTGTCATTGCTGTTTCATCTACAAATATAATTAGCTTAACAGTTAGTAGTACTCCTTTCAACATATAATTTCAAATAGAACTTACTGCAACATAATAAACTATATACATTATATAAAGTATATCTTAAGTAAAGCTAGGGAAAATAATTATATAATATAATATTTTTTAAGTTTAAAGGAAGTGTTCGCGAAAAATGAAAGGCGGATAGGCTTTCGGCGAAAAATAATCGCTTTTGATCACTACTCATCGTCCTTCTACCTGATGTGTCTATAGGAGAAAATTGTTAAAAACGGCTTATACCGGCTTATACCTATACTGAAGATGGTAGCGTCCATACAAATTCAGAAATTTGCAATATACGACTTGTATCGTAAAATTATTAATTTAATTTCAAACAAATCATTCAGTTATTACAACATAAAGTGATCGTTTATTTTTTGACCAATTTGTTTATAGTTCATAATATTTGTTATTTTTATATACAATGCACTGAAAACGACTTTTTCCGCTAGGTGTCTCTACCGTCCACGTGTAATCATTCAAAGCTCGAGAGCAGAGACACCTGGCAGCCAGTTATTTCGGCGTTTTAAGCGCATTGTATACAAACGAATATTAAATATTACCCTTATATGAATGCGTCAAAATAGTTGATGACTACGGGTTGTTATGTCTGAATGATTTGTTTAAAATTAAATTGATTTTTTTACGATTCAAGTCGTATATTGAAACTTTCTGAATTTGTATGGACGCTATATTCTTCAGGATAAGCCGTTTTCAACAATTTTCTCCTTATAGACGCAAAAGATAGAAGTAAGATTAGTAGCGATCAAAAGCGATTATTTTTCGCCGTAAGCCTATACCCCCTTTAATTTTTCGTGAACGCTCGCTTTAATAACGTCCAAAGGCTTTAAAAATATAAGTAGAAAAGTTCTATCAATGAAGCCTGGAAGGTCAATGAAGGTCTATCAATGAAGCCTGGAAGTTCAAGGAAGGTATATAAATGAAGCCTGGAATGTCAATGAAGGTCTATCAATGAAGCCTGGAAGCCTGGAAGGTTAAGGAAGGTCTATCAATGAAGCCTGGAAGGTCAATGAAGGTCTATCAATGAAGCCTGGAAGCCTGGAAGGTTAAGGAAGGTCTATCAATGAAGCCTGGAAGGTCAATGAAGGTCTATCAATGAAGCCTGAAAGGGTAAGGAAGGTCTATCAATGAAGCCTGGAAGGTCAAGGAAGGTCTATCAATGAAGCCTGGAAGGTCAATGAAGGTCTATCAATGAAGCCTAGAAGCCTGGAAGCTGGGGTACTTGAAAACCAGGATACGCTGCCCCCCCCCACAGTAAATTCCATGTTTCATGTTCAAATATAACAAATGATACATAATTGGAACGAACTTGTTCTCTAATTTTCGAATCTGCCAAAAAAATTCAAATTTGCAAAAATTGAAGAACAAATTAGCAAAATTTAGTTTAATAGTAGAAATTTTTGCAAAAAAGGTCCAAAAAATTGATAAAATAATCATTTTTGAAAAGCCCTTGACCATACCATTTAAAATATGCAAAAATGTGTGCACAATTTTAAGTAACCTGATGTGTAATTAAGAAAAGCTAAAAACATGCAAATAATTTGAAAATTTTCTTGCAATCTGCTTTCTTACGTCATAGGCTTTCCAAAAAGCTAAAAATTATCAATATCTGACAAATGAAAGGGGGTCAAAACGAAGATTTAGTTTGTTTTAGGAGTAAATAGTCATTCAAGCACTGCAGTAGTGTGCCTGAAGTAGGGCTCAGGCCGTTAATATAAATTAGCCCGGTTTTAGACCTAAAGGGATCAGCATTTAGGAAAATTCAGACTCAGAAAATGTTAACAGCCTCTGAACAAATACTTTTTGAGTTATGTAAAAAAAATACAAGGGGGGGGAGTCAAATTAACAAATTGATAAACATATCAATAAACATTCTAAAATTACAACTTGCCTGACACGAATCGAACCCCAGCTGACCTCCAGCACAAAGCTGTTCTTTCTCAAATATCTTTCTACAAAACAAAATATGAAAAGGAAGAAAAATATTTCTTAATATTCATTCTATACATAATTTTAAAATAATACTCCTCATCTGACTGCATGGTGCCTATTTACTTATTCTTGTTCGTTTACCATTTATAATTATTCTAAATTGGAAAGTATTTCTTACCAAAACAAGAAATAACAACTTACAAGGAAGTAAAAATCATTGAAAATATCCTTGATAGACATTTGCCCGAATTTTGCAGTACGTTGTTTTTCAAAAAATCATAACACAGGGTTGGGTCCGCGGCGATATAAATAAAATTCTCGGGTAATTCAAATTTTTTTTAAATTTACAATTGTATATTTTTCATTACGATCAAATTAGTCTCTTTATATATAATTTGCTTGTCTGTCTGTCTGGTTGTCTGTTTGTCTGTTTGTATCCAATAAACGTAAAAAATGATGAAACGATCGGGCCCAAATTGTGTTTGTGACCTTGCATGATCCTATATTTGGATTTTTGTAAAATTTTGAAAATGCGCGAAAAAATATTTGAAATCCGCGAACTTTTTTGTTTTTGTTTTATATTTTACAAAGAGAAGATGCTCACAGATAAAGCCTCAGTTGAAAGTTAAAATATATAATAGAATATGGGCCCGAAAACCCTAAAAGCCTGGTAACTTAAAAACAATGAAAATAAAAATACAAAAAAATCGTAGGAACTTTTAGAGAACAATTTGTTATTGCTTCTTTTTATTTTGAGAATAATACCAATAAAAATGGATAACAACAATTTCTAAAAATAAATTAATGAATAAAATGTTTTTTTAAAAAACCTCGATAAATCCTTACAAATCATGCACCTACCCCCAAAATGGACCGTCTTGAGCTACCATTGCTTTGTTACACACATCATCAGGAACAACCCTAGTCAGGGGACAAAGCACTCAACAAAAAATTCGAAAGAATACATTTTATCCATATGAGAAAAGTTTAAATGAATGAAATGAACACAAGAATAGGAAGACGACATTATAGCAATATTTGTTGTTGGTACAAAGCAAATATTTTTAATAGACAATTATTAAAATTATTGATTTAGTGAAATGGGTCTGTTTGCACTTCACATTTGCTGTGTCTCATGTTCATTGGACTTTTTAAATTTGTAACTTTATTTAAAAAGTCGTCTTCCTATTTCAGAGCTTTCTGGTTATCACTATGATTTATCCCGCGAAATTTCATGCATTGTAAAAAGTCTCTATATATATACCAAAATAATGCAAAATGTTTTAAAAGAATTTCGTTTACCCTTAGAAATATAAGAATTCTAATAAAACTGTATATTTGTATTGTAAACAGAGAAATGCAGCAGTTGATATAAAAAAAATGCACTATAATGTAAAAAGTTAGATAATGTCTGCTACTCTGTTCCTCATTTCAAGTTTTTGTAGAACAGCTGATTGTGGACCATTTTCTGCAGTAGTCCCCCAGCCGGTTACAACAACTAAAAATTTGTAAAAACCCTCCTGTTTTTATTCAGAGCAAACGCTGGAGAAAAAGGTATTTATTTTTTTCCCAGTATATATTAATTATGTTTACATTGTAAAGAAGTTTGTTATTAATTAAAGGGATCTAAAAACTATATTGCACTTCTTAAATCAAATCACCATCACAAAGTTAGATATCCTTTGATATTGCCATTGCATTGGGTTCTAACAAAGTGTTTTCAGATTCTATCAAAGTTTTTTGAGACCTTATTTGATGTTCATCTTAAATTTGTTAAACATAACAGTATGATTTTTCCTAAAATAAAGTTGAAAAGAAACAGAAAACATTCCTTAAAATCTATTGTTTTAAGTCTATATCTTTGCTACCTATTATTAGAAGCCTTTTATATTTATACGTTGGCCATTATCTATAAGGTTTAAAACAAAATATGAAATTTTATGATGCAAAATCAAGTTAATAATAATAGTCAATATTATGGTTTCATATTTGTTGGAAATTTTCTGTCATAATTCTATGCCAATGAACCGTCAAAAATGCTTAACAGTAAAACAATTTAATTTGTTTAAGCGATTTTTTTCCGGATAATGATTATTTTTTTTGGACAAATTCAGAGAGCAAAGTTTGAAGTTGAAATTCGCTTTATCAATCCAATTTTAACCTAAAATTGCGTTGCTTAGTTGGCTTGCAAGTTCTTAGTGGTTGGAGAGCAGAGTTAAAAAATTGATATAAAAAACTTCATATACCGTTAAACGACATAAGGTTGCAAAAATATAAGACTGGAGAAATTAAAGTGTAGAAAAAATTATACCTGGAGTTCCTAAAAAGTTTGTTCCTGGAGCTGGCAGACAAACCGGGGAATAGATGAAGGTGTCAACTTCATTCTCTAGAATATACAATCTATCTATCTATCTATCTAACTATCTATCTAACTAACTATCTATCAATCTATCTATCTATCTATCTATCTATCTATCTATCTATCTATCTATCTATCTATCTATCTATCTATCTATCTATCTATCTATCTATCTATCTATCTATCTATCTATCTATCTATCTATCTATCTATCTATCTATCTATCTATCTATCTATCTATCTATCTATCTATCTATCTATCTATCTATCTATCTATCTATCTATCTATCTATCTATCTATCTATCTATCTATCTATCTATCTATCTATCTATCTATCTATCTATCTATCTATCTATCTATCTATCTATCTATCTATCTATCTATCTATCTATCTATCTATCNTTTTTAAGATGTGGCCGGGTTATAATTCTATTTAAGATGTGGCCGGGTTATAATTCTGTTTAAGATGTGGTACTGGCTGGGTTATAATTCTGTTTGATATATATCTTCTTGACCCAAGAAAGTTATCGAACTAAGTGTTGACTATTTTTAACCTTCCTTGATAAGATTTTATAAATTTAATTTCGTTTCAACTCTATTTTACTTCGAAAATCTATGGCGTGTCAAACCACATTTGATGTTTTTAGAACTTAAAAAATTCTATAGTTTTTATTAGTATTGTTAAATAAATTTTAGTAATCACAATTCACAACTCAGAAGCAAAATCAATATTTTATAATATAAATTGTAGAATCTCAACTACATATCCCAAAATCAGGGGTTCCATTTTGCGCAAATTTTATAAATTTTCAGGGGGGGGGTATGCCGATAATGCAAGATGTAACACAGTTTAGAAAAGTGAAAAAGTGGAGAGAATGTTGAAAAAAAAATAATTATCTGCATTAAAAACATGTTTCTATTTATTACTTGAAGCTTAAAAACTGTAAGTTGTAAAAATATGAAAATTGAAAATACCCAATTAGTTAAAAAATGTTTTGTTGCGTAACAATAAACGCAAAGGCTGCGGATAAATAATCGCAACGTCAAAATAAAATGTTGCGCTGAAAAATGCAAATTTTGCTAAAAATCGGAATTGAGTAGAATTGTCTTAACTAATATTAAACATATTTTTTACCAGAACTTCAAGATCTGATTCTGAAACATCTTCTAAATCATGTTCTCCTATCCTAGCAATCACAAGATCTGGAAAATTAAAAACAATACTTAATTAAGGGGACTGTAAGCGTAATTTATAGAGATCCTCAATGCGAAGATAGAAATGCCCAATTCACAACGGCACCCTTGAAACCTTTATCTGATCAAAAATGTGGAAGATAACGTCGTTTTTCTGATTTGAAAAGTGTCTGATTTTGTTCATTTACTCAATTGTTAGTTAAAATCAATACATGCGCAAGTCACCTTCGCAGATAAAGCTTTTCAGGGTACCGTTGTAAATCGGATATTACCATCTTTGCATGGAGGGTCCCTTTAAATTATGCTTACAGTCCCTTTAAACATTAATATGTAAGAGCAAGAAACTTCTGTATTGCGGAATTGAGAAAATCAGATGAAAAAACATACAAGTCAAATTTTTATCCTTCTCAAAATCTTTGAAAATTATTCAAATTCAAAATTTAAACCCTGCTCTTTAGAAGAATAAGTTAGAAGTTTGGGCAAGTTTTTTAAAATTACAAAAAAAGCATGAATGATATGTAACGACAATCATGTTTCTAGCAACAATAAGAAGAAAGAATTAGACTGCAGATATAACTGCGTAGAATTTATGTATTCCATCTTGTCTCTCAGATTCATGGTTCTCTGCACCAGTAAACTTGTTTATTTTTATTTTTACCCCATCATTGCCATCTTCTATTTCAATTGTGAACATTTTCTCTTTGTATACATTGTAAAACTATAATAAAAAAGAAGTTCTCGGATTTTATAAAAAAAAATTTGTTGAT